AATGTAGTTTGCCATTGCTTAGGATTGAGAGAAAGTGACTGGCCCAAGGTGACTCAGCTGGCTTTGTGCCTAAGGTCTATCTGGATAGATAGAAACCTATCTCCTGGTTTCTAATCTGGGTCCTTAATCACTACCCAAACAGGCTATCAACATGATCCTAGCATGGAGAAAAAATTCACTGGTGAGTTTTAGAAGTTTCGTTTTCTTGAAGTAAACTTGTATATTAAATTTAATTATTTCCCTTAGCTGTAGGTGTTTATTGTTTCAATTATCTATTATTTCTCTCAAATATTCAAAGAAACATTTAGTGTCAAAATGTTTTGCTGTATCATACATATTGTTTCTCAGTAAGCCAAAAAATAAGTAAATAAATCATTTGAAAACATTGATGTTTGGGAACTAAGATCATATTATATCAGAATTAACAAGAAATAAAGCCCCTTTTCATCTGCATTCTTGCATTATTGGGGAAAAGGGTGTCCCAATTGTCAGCCTGAGAGAATAGTTGCATAGATTTAATATCTGCTTTTCAATATACAGAAAAGATTGTTTTTCACATGAGACTTAGCATCACCTCAGTGTTTTAGCAACCTTTGTAGCCTCACGGAATAAAACAAAGGCAAATATATCCAAACCTTTCTGGTGTTTCTTGATAGGTTTGTCAGCCCAACCCACTTCACAGGAGAAAATAGGAGGAGGAGGAAGTATTATATCTGTTTGCCATCTTGATTTACTATTATAAAATAATAAAGGCAGGATTTTAAAAAAAAATCAAAGAAATAAAAATTATGTCACAATTTTATTAGGCACCGTATAAGGAAATTTTGCAGAAGTAGAATTAAAGATGTGGAAGAAGACACCAACTTCAACCTGCAATATAACTTAGTCTATGTTTTCTATTTTTTGCATTTTTTTAGTATTATTACAACTATTTTTGCAATATTTGCATTCAGAATTGTACATTTTGTTCTTGGCATTTAGTATGCTAATTCAAATATAATTTGTATATTGACTAAATAATACCATTTGTATTTGTTTGATAATACATTGATGCCATTCAAAGTTAAGTCTAATAACCATCAGGAGCCACAATGTAAATATCCAATTATTTAATTTTATTATGTTATTTATGAATGTGATCTCACCTAAGTTTTATATGTGAAGAAAAAGGTCAAGGTTTGGATGGTATGTCAATTGAATTAAGAACACCTCCTGTTAATATTTATCCATATGGGTAGTAGTGCTATCTCCATCATTAGATGAAGTTGAATATAGATTTTGTTTCCAAAACGTTACTTAAATTTGTCTGCATCATGGCCTAAAATGTTTCTGGTAGAGGAAACTAAGCCTACAATAAATACAGATATAATCTAAAAAGCATTGGATTAAAATAGTCCTATAAACATCTGGTTTGTTATCTGTAAGTTATGTTACCTATTGATGTATTTCAGTAATCTCAACCCACAAAAACATTCAAATGAAAATGGAGTATCTACGCAGGATGAAAACTTTGAAGAGCTCATCAGTTTACCCATGGGAATAAAACCTCCCAGATTGGATGTCATGAGTCCTGAAGAGAAAGATAGCTCTGATATTCCTTTGACTCCCATCTTGGCCTTTGAAGAGAATGGGGCATAAGGGTCATTGCCTCAGGTAGACAATGTTCAAACACCTCAGACAGCAGGTAAGTTTGCTGTATTCCTTCTAACTTGCATGCCCTGGAATGAATCTAGCAAATGCCTCGTTTGAGTATATTAAGAGCAAAGAATAAAGGGTTATAAAATCTGCAATAAACATATTAATCTTGATTCTTAGAGCAACCTGCATCGAGAATAGGACAGAGAGAGATAGAAGCTTGATTTGAATTGCACTAGACTTGTACAGATCAGGGCACAGATCTGAATTTCAAACTATTTATTTAAAAAATTGTTTCAATTATAAAATGTATTTCTGATACAAAAGCAAGTTTATTAAGGGATAAATAGACTTTTAATAAAAGTAAGAAAAAGCAATGCTTCTGCAACACATATATAAAAATATTGATTTTAACATGTGCTGGGTTTCCTTCCTTATAAGATATTTCAGTGAAAATTTTCTACTCTGGTTCATAACTCTAGGTAACAGGAACTTTGTTCAGTTTATGTGGGATAGAATGGAACTATTTCTGCACTTAATAATTGGTGCATGGATCCTGAATTATTGTCCCATGAGAGGAAGCCACTCTGATCCAATGGTGGCATCACCAACAGGACAGAATGAGTGATGTTTTTTTTTGCCAATTCCTCCTCGTTCCTACAGGCCTACTTCCCACACTGTTTTAGTTGTTGTTTCAACCCTTTCAGCAGGTGTTCAGAACATACAGGAGAGCTTCAGAGGGAACAGGAATTGGCAGAAATTATTTCTCCTGTTCCACTCATGAGAACTTTTTACGTGCAATTCCAGTCTTTGGAACCAATAAGATCCATCTCCAGGGGTGGGATTCTACGGGCAAACTGGTAGATCAGAGGATCACCTGAGAGCGAACCAGTTCGATTTGCTCCGACGATCAGCTGTTGAGCCCACACGCCTGCCTGGGCTCTAGGCTGTGCTTTATATCTTATTTTTCAAGCTCAGCTGATTTGCGGATTGCTGCCCGTCAGCTGTTTGACAGGGATTGCTGGGGAAAGTCATTAGCATGCGCTCACCGATCTGATTGTTACACTGGTTAAATCGCACCCCTGTCCGTCTCCTGTCAGCATGATCATCATCCATTGACAGGACTGTTTGTACTTTTGTATAAGAACCATTGCTAATGATTTCTTTATTGGCTTTCCTTTGTAGAAGTTGTCTGAGATCTCCTTACAAATTATTATCAAAGGTGAAGAAAAAGCCTTCTGAAGCCAATGGGATTCCTTTTCCATGCCATGAAGGAGTGTTATATTTTTGGTCACTCTGGAATTTTCTAAAGATTTCTTGCTTTCTTTCTTTTTTCTTTTTCTAAAGAAAACAGGTAGTAAAACCAGCAGAATATATTGGAAATAGATTTGGATTGCCTTTCTATCACAAGAACTCACTGTTAGGGGAGAATTGTGTCTTCTATTTCAAAAACTGCTTCATGTAGCATAATTGATATTTTCACCAATTCTTGAAGAAAGGGGTAACTAGATTAACAATACCAGGATGATTGAGATCATGGGCCTGTTGGTTTTGACTTGTTTTGAAGATGGGTAGTTTTAAAAGGCACACTGTAAAATCAGCAAATAATCTTACATTTTACTGATTCAATACTTGAAAAGTAAACACCTCACTGCTCTACAGGGAGGGGCTTTGGTTTTTTTTTTTTTTGTTTGTTTTTTTGTTTAAACCTGTTGGTTTAAATATTATTGCAGAGAACTATTAACTATGGAGGCAAAATATAGCCTTCTGTATCAGGTTCTTGTAAATGTAATTCCTAAATGGACATTCTGTATATTTAGCCATCACTATGCTCTTCTCACATTTTCTTTTACAAATAACATGACAGGTTTTAAAATGTGAAAAAAAGCATTATTTTTTCATAGGTGAAATGAAAAAAAAAAAGCCTATTGTATCTTAGATAATGTATTTATTAATTTTGTTGAGTACAAAATAAACAATAAAAACGTGGCTATAATTAACAATGCAAGTTTGGGTTTTCTTCATTTATCTAGTCTAGCAGGCAGTTCAGCAAATAAAACAAAGCTTTCTAGCTTAATGTCATTCTCTGCATTCAATGAGCTTTTTCCAGACTTGGAAAATGAAGATGCACCTAATGTACCCATAGGTAAAGGTAAAGGTTCCTCTCGCACATTTATGCTAGTCATTTCCAGCTCTAGGGGGCAGTGCTTACCTCTGTTACAAAGCCAAAGAACCAGCAGTGTCGGAAGACGTCTCCGTGGTCATGTGGCCGGCATGAATAAATGCCAAAGGCGCATGGAACGCTGTTACCTTCCCACCAAAGTGGTCCCTATTTTTCTACTTGCATTTTTACATGCTTTTGAACTGCTAGGTTGGCAGAAGCTGGGACAAGTAATGGGAGCTCACTCTGTTACGTGGCGCTAGGGATTCGAACTGCCGACCTTTTTGATCGACAAGCTCAGCTTCTTAGCCACTGAGCCACGCGTGTCCCCAGTGTACCCATAACGTTCTTCATATAGTACAGGCTGAAGAGGAAATGTTACTGAAGTCCTGTCCTGATGTCTGGAGGCCATTAGTGTTGGATAGGGAGGAACAGTTTAGGCTGAACCCTAGCAAGATGCCTGGGATAGTCTATCTTTGATTCTAAGGCACTAAGACCTGGTCTGTTTGATATCATATTGTTGCAGAATGGTGATTACATGAAATAGATGATATTCAGTTATTTGGGAAGTTTGGGAAGTCTAATGAGGGAGCCAAGAGTGGGTCTTCCTGCAATCTAATGGGAGGAACAGATTCAACAGTCCTTGAGGAACACAGCCCATTCGTAGAAGAAATGCTGCATATGACTCAGATGACCATTTCCATCTCAGGAGGCTGTTCTCATTCTTCTGTGTCCTGTGACATTCTTCTCTAAAATATTATTTTCTTTATGTTGCTTCCTATAAACAAGATTCTAACAATTTAAAAATCCAATTTAATAAGAGATGAAACCCATATGGGCATTTCCAGCTATAAACCGGCTAGAAGAAAGTATGTTTTGTTTCTTGTGGAAAATGTGTTTCGCTGCCATTGTGGGTCCTGCAGATCAATCTTCAATATGCAAAGCCAGAAAACAAAAGCTTTCATTTTTTTACTATGTTTGCAGACAACTGCAGAATCACTCAAAAATATATTAGATACAAACTTTGCACATGGCTTCCAGACATTTGATTTTAGTAGCACAAAGAAAGCAGTAATCTTCTATGTAAATATTCAGTTTTTCCCCCCAAAAAGATACAATAATTGATTTAATTTAGATGTAAGAGCTGAAATAAAGTAAGAGCTCTTGAACATATGCACTTCACATATGGATAGAAACAGGTTCTGAATAGCTTTCTTTGTGCAACTAGGTACAGTATGTCCTCTTTGGTGGATATCTCCATGTCATCCAAATCATTTTTCTACTTACAGAGCATTTTAACACAAATATGTGCATAAATAGAAACCTTTGGATCCAGCAACTGTCATTTATTGAACCACCTGTCTCCCATTATTTCTGCCTGTTCCACATGTTCTAATATGATGCTCTAGCTCCCTTCTCTGAAGTCATATCAATTAATGAGCCAAGGACGTGATTACTCAGTCATGCCTATATACAAATATACAGCATCTTAAAGTAGTCACAACACAACCATTTTACATAAATACATTTTTTCTAGAAATGCCCATTTTAATAAAAACTTCACAAATTTAGCTTGGAAACCTACATACACATAATTATTTGCTAGCAGAGATTTCTTTTTTCCATTTCAAGGCTCTTAAAACAATCCAATTTCAGTTTATTAAAATAGGAATGTTGTCAAGGTTTATTCCAGGGCAAGATTATATCTGCAGAGATCTGCAGATTACAAATCAGCAAGGCTGGTGCTAAATTGCAACATTTGTATGAAAGAACAACGATTAGATTGGTCCGTCTGTCTTGCATCTGTATAGTAGAACAATCTTTTAAGACTGGTCCATGAATGCATCAAAATAATGAACCAGCCATCTTAGATAAGGCAACAGTGGCAGATTTTTGATATAATACCAAACCCAATCATTTTCAATGGTTTCTGTTTACATGCCTTGTGATGGAGGAAATGTCCCTTTCATTTCTACCCAAATAACTGACATCATAATTTATGTATGTAGCTGTTGTAGATTTATCCACGGCTGCTCCTTTAAACTTGAGATGCCAATATCTTACCTCAGCTGCCTATTCAGGAGCTAATGATATCCATTCTGACTAATGATATGCAAGCTGGAAGTGTCTCTCATGCATCCATATGTCCAATAGCAACACTGAGAAGCTCTTGCATAATTTCAGTTTGTTGACAGATTTCATCAAGGTGCTTCTTCAGTTCACTGTTACTGAATGCTGCCAGAAAGTCTGGATCTTCATATAAGAAAAAAAGTATTCAGATATTAGAGCTTTTTAAAATACCTGCAGAACTTTTCATTTTACACTTGTCTATACATTTATTTGACATTGGATTGGTAGTATTATCTAAGGATTTACATTCAATCTATAAAAATCTACACCATGAAATATAGGCCAACTTTAAATTATTTATGTTTAAAATCTGCTTTGATGTTACAATTTTTCAAGATCCTGTTAAGAAATTCATGCATATTCCTGTTTCTTATACATCATACATCTGTTCAACAAACCTCAAGAGAACCTGTTTCCACCTTTCTCAGTCAGAAATATGACAAACTTTCAGGCATTATGATGTGTCTCGTGTCCATCAGTCAGCCTTCCACTTTCCACTGTTCAACCTCCTATAAAGATCCAAGCTTCCCTTTGGACCTTCTGTCAAAAATAACTCTGAAATTCACCACCTAGCTGGACCTCCTATATATTGCATTTTTGGTGATTCTATTTGGCTTGGTTTCACTCTCTTGACTCTTCCCCAACTAAAATCCTATAAGGGTACATCTTGACTTCTTTACTACTGCTAATAAAAAATAGTTGGAAAAAATTCAGGAAACTAGAATCATGAGATTATTGATGCTCCCTTTCTAAAAATATTTTTAGAAGTATAAAATATGTGACAATGGGAATGAACTTCAACACAAGTCTGATGAAAATATCAGTGAACTTTATAAAGCTGGAGTTTGTTTACATTACTAGAAGCAATAAGGACTCAAATCCTAGTAAAATCTAGTGAGCCTAGTTATTATGCTAGACACCACATAAAACTCCTGGGATTTAATTTGGACCACTATTTTATTTATTTTATTGGAAAGACTTATAGGGATTTCTTTAAATCATAGAAGTCCATACCTTTCTGTAATGCACAGAGAGTGGTTATGCCCAAATGCTGAAAACGAATCTCCCGGTGAATAAAATACTTCATCAGATATTGCTGAACCTGGTTCATGTGAGTTTTTAACAGAGACACTATCTCCTCTATGCAATTGATATGGAGAACAGAAAAGAAACACAGAACAGAATCCATTAGTTATACTGCACTATTAAAACAACGTCCTTCTGCTTGTGATGACTGCTACTGCTTGCTTTTCTGGTTACTAATTTGTTAAGCTAAGTATATTTTAATATTGAAAATTTATAAATGTAGTTTACTATAAAGTCACGCACTACAGCAAGCAGAGCTCTGCGCTCCAGCCCCAATTCATTTTAAGTTTTATTTTGTGAAATAAAAATACAAGTGCTGAATCTCCCAAAGAGCTTCATCTACTTGGAAATTAAAGCACAGTGGTAATAATGCTACATAATTGTGTAGTAAATGTCTTCTAGACACAATTAGTGCTTGTGTACATGTAATAATAAATAAATAATAATAAATTATTTTACGAATGGGGGTTTAAAGAGGCTTTATACCACAATGATTTTTCAAATTAAACATCACTTCAACTTGCAGCAGTAAATCTATCAATATTTGAGCAGTAATAGCATATTTAACAGGATTTGTTTCCTTATGGAAGATTCTATTACGATGGCACAAAATGTTTAATTGCTGTGTTGGAACTATTTGCTTCACTCTCTCAAACAAATTTTCATATTTAAATTAGAAAAATAAGGGCTCCAGGCAAGGAGGCCAAGTGTGGTCAGGCGCAAAATACCTGCCTGATGTTGATTAGATTTACATTATTAGTATATTATAGGAAAATAGATGATCATCTAGCTGTAATTCATTCATTTAATAAGTCTTTAAGAATCCCATTATACTCTGAGAATGATATAAATAAAGGGATTTGCACTTCAAGGCTCAAGCTGTTGTCCTTTTTTTTTTTTTTAACCCAACACATTTCATCACTTGAATTTGAATTTATAGTTTCATTAGGCTGAAAATATACACTGCTCAAAAAAATAAAGGGAACACAAAAATAAGACATCCTAGATCTGAATGAATGAAATATTCTTATTAAATACTTTGTTCATTACATAGTTGAATGTGCTGACAACAAACTTACACAAAAATTATCAATGGAAATCAAATTTAGCAACCCATGGAGGTCTGGATTTGGAGTTACACTCAAAATTAAAGTGGAAAAAACACTACAGGCTGAGCCAACTTTGATGTAATGTCCTTAAAACAAGTCAAAATGAGGCTGAGTAGTGTGTGGCCTCCACATGCCTGTATGACCTCCCTACAATGCCTGGGCATGCTCCTGATGAGGTGGCGGATGGTCTCCTGAGGGATCTCCTCCCACACCTGGACTAAAGCATCCCCCAACTTTTGGACAGTCTGTGGTGCAACGTGGCGTTGCTGGATGGAGAGAGACATGATGTCCCAGATGTGCTCAATTGGATTCAGGTCTGGGGAACGGGCGGGCCAGTCCATAGCATCAATGCCTTCGTCTTGCAGGAACTGCTGACACACTCCAGCCACATGAGGTCTAGCATTGTCTTGCATTAGGAGGAACCCAGGGCCAACCACACCAGCATATGGTCTCACAAGGGGTCTGAGGATCTCATCTCAGTACCTAATGGCAGTCAGGCTATCTCTGGCGAGCACATGGAGGGCTGCGCGGCCCCCTAAAGAAATGCCACCCCACACCATTACTGACCCACTGCCAAACCGGTCATGCTGGAGGATGTTGCAGGCAGCAAAACATTCTCCGCGGCGTCTCCAGACCCTGTCACGTCTGTCACATGTGCTCAGTGTGAACCTGCTTTCATCTGTGAAGAGCACAGGGCACCAGTGACGAATTTGCCAATCGGTGTTCTCTGGCAAATGCCAAACGTCCTGCACGGTGTTGGGCTGTAAGCACAGCCCCCCACCTGTGGATGTCGGGCCCTCATACCACCCTCATGGAGTCTGTTTCTGACTGTTTGAGCAGCCACATGCACATTTGTGCCCTGCTGGAGGTCATTTTGCAGGGCTCTGGCAGTGCTCCTCCTGTCCCTCCTTGCACAAAGGCGGAGGTAGAGGTCCTGATGCTGGGTTGTTGCCCTCCTACGGCCTCCTCCACGTCTCCTGATGTACTGGCCTGTCTCCTGGTAGTGCTTCCATGCTCTGGACACTACGCTGACAGACACAGCAAACCTTGCAACAGCTCGCATTGATGTGCCATCCTGGATGAGCTGCACTACCTGAGCCACTTGTGTGGGTTGTAGACTCCGTCTCATGCAACCACTAGAGTGAAAGCACCACCAGCATTCAAAAGTGACCAAACCATCAGCCAGAAAGCATAGGAACTGAGAAGTGGTCTGTGGTCATCACCTGCAGAACCACTCCTTTATTGGGGATGTCTTGCTAACTGCCTATGCTTTCCACCTGTTGTCTATTCCATTTGCACAACAGCATGTGAAATTGATTGTCAATCAGTGTTGCTACCTAAGTGGACAGTTTGATTTCACAGAAGTGTGATTGACTTGGAGTTGCATTGTGTTGTTTAAGTGTTCCCTTTATTTTTTTGAGCAGTGTAAATATCAGACTCCCTGCTGATACATACCATGCCTTACGAAGTGTTTGATCATAAAAGCAGCTTGGAATGAAAGCTCGGTTTGTTCCACCTGGTTAGCTAATTTCACCAAATGACTTATCAATGGTTCATCCATCAATGCTACAATATGCGCCGTGGCTCCTTCTAATAGTAAAAGAAAAGATTTAATAAGAAATTAAAATGCAAATGAACAGACCCGAACAGAACAGAGAAAGACTATAGAACAGGGGTGTCAAACCTGCGGTGTCACAGCAGTGTCATGTGACATATTGGGACTTTCCCCTTTGCTAAACTGGGCGTGGGTGTGGCCAGCGTGTGACACATCCGGGCCATGGGCCGTGTGTTTGACAGCCCTGCTCTAGAACATTTGAAATAAATATATTGAACCACAGAGTCAAATACTTGGTAGGCCTCACAATTGGTGGAGAAATTAAAACCTGAACAGAAGGAAGTATAGCCTTTCCTTATACACATTCAGCAAAGGGTGCTCACCATCTCCTTCAGTAATTGGCATCATTGTTCAATTGGTCTTATCATGAGGAAATTTTTCTTAACATTTAAATGGAAACTGTACTTAGGAACAGAAACTTAAGAACATTGGTCTATGTCTCACACTCTGGAATGATAAAAAAAATAGGTCTTGAACTCCTCTGCAGGATCCATTCATGTACTTGAGGAAGGCTATCACACTTCAATCAGGCATCTCTTCACAAAAGGGACCACACCCAGTTGCCTCATAAGACTTACTTTATTGTCCGTTCCAGTTCCAATTACTATAACCGTGATGGCGAACCTATGGCACACATGCTGGAAGTGACACGCAGAGCCACTTCTGCCGGCACACGAGAGGTCGCCCGGAAGAGCCCCACTGCGCATACATGCACGCCTCCCACCAGCCAGCTGATTATTGGGTATCTGCTACGCGTGCAGGGGTGGAATTCTATCGGTTCACACCTATTCGCTGGAACCGGTTGTTAACATTCTAAGCAGTTCGGAGAACTGGTTGTTAGAAGAAATTACTGGCCTAATCCTGTAAGGAAGGCAGGAAGGAAACATTCTGGTGTTGCTTACAGAAACTGCCTCTCCGTTAACCCTTATTACATTCTTGGTAGGACTAGACTTCCTGTCTCTGGAACATCTCTGGAGTTTTTTTCCCCTCCTTTGCTGGTACTTTGCTTGTGTGGAGTGACCATTTAAAGTTACAATGGCACTGAAAAAAGTGACTTATGACCGTTTTTCACACTTATGACTGTTGCAGCTTCCCCACAGTCATGAAAGGCCAGGTGAGGAGATGCGTGCCTTGATGTGAGTGCTATTGAGTTGGCCATGCCCAGCCAATAACATGATCACCAAGCCATATCCACCCAGTCACATGACTATCAAGCCACGCCCACCAACCAAGCCATGCCCCTGTATTGCTTAGTGATGGCAATTCCAGTCCCAACGTATTTTATGATTTCTCCAGCATAGATAGTCCTTGACTCACAACCACAATTCAGCCCAAAATTTATGTTAAGTCAGACATTTGTTAAAGGAGTTTCACCCCGTTATACAAACTTTCTTGCCTCAGTTGTTGAGGGAATCACTGCAGTTGATAAGTTAGTAACCCGGTTGTTAAGTGAATCTGGCTTCCCCATTGACTTTGCTTGTCAGAAGGTCACAAAAGGGGATCACAGGACCTTGGGACATTGCAATAGTCATAAATACGAACCAGTTGCCAAGCATCTGAATTTTGATCACATGATCTCAGGGATGCTGCAAAGGTTGTAACTGTGAAAAACAGTCATAACCTCCTTTTTTCAGTGCCGTTGTAACTTTGAATGGTCACGAAATGAACTGTTGTAAGTTGAGGACTACCTGTTTTTTAAGATATTTTCTTCAAAGTGTTGCCCACTCCCATTAAATATATGTATATTTTAGAAGTTTGAGTTTTAAAAAAAGGATTAAAGAAAAAGAAAGAGTATCCAAGCAACTATGCTTTTCCTTTTTAAACCAGCGAGCACTTTAGAAATACTTGGTAATCTAAATATTTTGTTAATGATTGAAATCTGAGTTTGTTTTATTTTAAAATTATGTTTGCTTTATTGATTAATTCCTTCAAGTTATTGCTGATCTCTGGCAACTGCCTGGAATAATCCCTGCAGATCAGAGGGGGTATTCAGCAGGTTCTGACCAGTTCTGGAGAACCAGTAGCAGAAATTTTGTGTAGTTCAGAGAACTGGCAAATACCCCCTATGACTGGAGATTTTACAGTATCCTTCCCCTGCCATGTCCACCAAGCCACACCCACCAAGTCATGCCACGCCCACCAACCCACGCCCACAGAACCAGTAGTAATTTTTTTTGAATCCCACCACTGTTGCATATCCCTGCAGATCTCTTGGCAAGATTTCAGAGGTGGTTAGCTGTTGCCTCCTTCCTGGAGCTGAGTGTGTGTGACTGGCTCAAGGTCATCCAATTGGTTTTGTGCCTGAGTCTGCCAGTTTTTAGCCTGGTGCATTAGTCACTATACCAAGCTGGCTCTCCTATTTAAATTAAATTTAAATATATTTCTATTTAATTTAAATTAAATAAAGTTCTTCTATCTCATATCTTATTTATATTTTTACCCCAAGTATTTGGCTTCTCATAGGCTTCCAATAAAACCATTGTCATCTGTATTATGCAGGAGATCAAAACTTACATCAACATCAATGTTCAATGCCAGAAAAAAGGCTTACGCATCTATGCAACAGAATTAAAGCCCCCCTTACCATGCTTCACCAGTTCAGCAAGACAAGATATCACATAGAAAAGGGAATCTTCTAGTAAATGGGCACTATGGATAGCTTGAAGAAGGCCTTCAACACATGGGCTTTCTAAGATTTTCTGTAAATCATACACAAAAGGCACTATTTCAGTCTGGCAAACCTCTTTCAAGCTATAAAAATTAGCATCATGAATAAAAATAAACAGGGTAGTTTTATGGCATATATCAGATTCATTCAAGAATCAAATTAAACTAAAGCTTGCCTCTGCCCCAGTTAACACTGGATTTAATTTTTAGAACTGGATAAAGGATGTAGGATGAGGGATAGATAATAATCATACAAAATATCAATATGTGTGCAATAACCAACTGTGGTTGCATTGTTTTCTTTCTTAAAACACTTATGGCATACGTGGCCTCCAAATTCTTTTATTAGTTCCAAATACGAAAAGAGATCTCCAACACTTTTAGACCCATCTTGCATTTGGTACTCATGAACTCCAGAAAGCAGATTTAAAGAAACCTGCAACATTTTATAAAAGCAGGTGGAGAGATTAACATGAGAAGAAAGCATGCAGGTAGGTGCATTGCTTGATAATGTAACTCTCTTTCCTCCTATATATGTTGTTTAAATAAGAACTATTATAATGCAAAATTTATTTAGTGCTCTGATATTCTGTCATTTTTCACTGTGAAACTAAACCATTTTTTAAAGCATCATAAGGATTTTCAAAATATTTCCCAAAATTGATCAGACCAGTTTAGCTTTAGCAATTCTCTACACAATGTGCTCCTCAGGAAATTTAGCACCTGCAAAATCCATTGCTATAGATTTTCCAGTGGGTGCTATATTGTCCATTACAGAAATCCGTTCCACAGTGATACCAATAGTCAAATTTGAGATCAATATGGGCTGACAGTAATATAGTTCATAGTTTGCTGTAATTAATTCATTCAAACTATAGCAGAAAGAAAAAGAAATAAGCACATTGTCCTTTTAATCTGAATTTTAAATTGATTTCTAGTACTGGTATCTTTCTAGGTGTATTTCAAAATGATGGCTGTGGCATAATGTTTTTAAGGGTAGTAGGGCCAATATATGGTGGGGGGGACAACTATATTTCCTGTATAAATCAATTCTCTTAAATGGATATTAGAGGACCAGATATGGAAACTAGAGGTAAACCTTTTATAAGTACCATGCCTTTGGAAAGCAATGTCCAGAGATAGCTACAGAGATTGAACCTATAATCTTATAGGAATTGAGTAATGACTCCAGACACTTTATCTATATGTATAAAACCGAAATACTACTCATGCATCATCATAAAATCTCCAGAACCGTAAAGCCTACAAACTTGAAATTTGGCGCATATGTTCCTCTTGGCTTCTAGGTGCTCACTAAGAAAGGATTTTTTGAAATGACCATCAGAGCATTAGTATTTCATATATTATTATTTACATGCTCTGATGCTAAGGAGTTCTACTCCCCCTCCCCACCTGAAAAGAAATTTTTCTTCCCCAAACCCCAAAAACTTTAATCTTAGACTATCTACTATTGATCTCACCCACTTCCTAAGAGGTCTGTAGGGGGCGTGCATAAGCGCACCAACGTGCCTCCCGTCCCTGTCCTATTGTTTCTTTTTATTTTTCTTATATGTATCCATTTCATGTATTCATAACTATGTTTTTACTTATACCTATTATCTTGTAAGCGATTGACAAATCAAATAAATAAAAATAAATAAATAAATAAAATCTGTTCCAAATGTAAAACACAAGCAGTGGAGAGGAGTTTCAGTTTCACAGCAGCAACCAGCTTTAGTACAAAACAGCTGAGCTAAGTCGAGGCTCCTTGCTGTCTCCTTCTTGCTCACACAGCAAATACTGCTTCACTTTCCAAACAGCCCTCAACTCTTTCACACGCTGACAGGACGCTATCCAGATGAATACCGGTGGATGCTGTTAGGCAGAGGCATATTTTTTCCCTTAGTTTCCTCCCCAAAAACTAGGCCCGACCACATAGTTTCGTAGCGAAGCACGGGTATCGAGCTAGTTTGATATGAAATCTGGGCTTGTGTGTTTATGTTGGCTGTTTTTCTCCCCTGTTCATGTGCTTCTTTTGTAAATGCTCTAGACTGCACTCATCGATTATATGACTATCTACATTGTGGAAGCAAATTCCACATTGCATCTGGATGATTTAAACTCTTCCTTACCACGCAGGTCTATAGGAAAACAGGGCCTTTGTGTGTCAAGTACTTTCCTCTCAGGTATATTTACAATTATTCTAGAAGCATTTCCAACTACCGTTGGAGGTGGCATATGAGCTAACCTGAAAACTGCAGCTAGGAAGGAAGGAAGGAAGGAAGGAAGGAAGGAAGGAAGGAAGGAAGG